GCCGGAACTGGTGAAAACATTCTCGCAGACATCATGCCACACCGGAATTCACAGCACAAGCGTACCTGGTATTACGGCACTCGATGTTCAGGTTGCTTTATATGCTTTGCTTTGAACAGCCATGTCGTTGCGCCGTGTTTTCCGGCCGATGCTGTTGGCTCTCTCTGTTCTGTACTGCGCCTAATTTAGCATAGGATTCGGATGAATCGTTTTGTCTTGCTGATGATCTTTTCGGTATTCTGTAATTTGGGTTAGGTACTAATCAATTTGAACAGTGATTTAGTTGAGCAAGTAAAATTGATGTGAAAAAATTTATGGATTTTTTATTTTTAGAAGAATACTTTTACATTTTACATGGATATGATTAAATTGAGCCGTAGTTTTTTTTAAGAAAATAAGTGAGGAAAGTAAGAAATCTTAGAATTTTGGTTCTTCCAAGGAATGATTAAACATATAGTTTGGGTACCATAGACATTCTTTACTGTGCATTTTTTAACTGTCTTTTTTTCAAATCATAGTGTGAGCGCTGTCCTTCCTAAGCAACGTTCATAAGCAAAGTATTGTTTTTTTGCCATGAAAGTGGAGAAATGTTTGGAGCAAAAAATACAAATTTAGAGTTTCGGATCATAGAATTCGTTTACTTATGTTTACTGGCTTCTGAAGCATCTAGGATTTCCCTAATTCTCGATGCGAAGCTCCCGATGTAGCTGGGGTGCAGATGCATGTTAGATAAAGGCGTACCATAGATTTTTGATGTAAGCGTACTATAATTTGCTATCTCCGATTAACTTTTTGGGATTTCTCCGGGTGGCTTTTTTATCGTCCTTCATCGGTTCTTTGCTCTTCATCCGGAGAAGTCTTTTGCATTCCTGCACGGCGAAAAAGAAGTTATTTAAGGATTCGTTGGTGCTGACCGGGGGTGCAGACCGTGCTGTTGTCTTATTCAATAGCGACACTGAAACAGTGCTATCGACTTTCAAGGGACACCAGAAGAAGATATCGGCAGTTATCCTGCATCCGGGCAAAGAAACTTGCCTATCAGCATCCGCAGATGGACAGGTTTGAATTATTTTTTGGAAAAAAAAGCAATAAAACGAGTGATACTGTTGATTCTATCACTGAAAATTGCGTGGGAATTGTGTTATTGGGATGCGTGGAAGTCACCGCTAGCAAAACTTTGTGTTTAGCTGAATGCATTGGTCAGGATCTATCCCATAGTAGCATAAGTGAACGCAGTAGGCACAAAATTTTTGGCCAAAAAAAGCACAGAGAGCAAACAAAAGCGTATAGTTTAGCCATAATAAGTAGAGAAAACAGTCGGATTTTGTGCAACTTTTAACTCCACTAAACAAACTTTTCCAAAAAAGTATTCAGTTCAGTTTGGAAGTGTGAATTTGCCAGCGTGTAAATCTTTTTTAGAAAATTAAAAGATACCACCCTTGAGTCACTAGAGTAGAGTTTTTGGGGAAGAATTTGCACGTTTTTGAGAACAATGTGTTCATGGTACCCCAGGCGCGAAATTCCCACATTGCTTTGATAATTTTGCGGTGATACATATTGGGCACTGCGTCCGCCATGGCGTGATGAAATAAATGTGAACTGCGCATGATCTAGAGGAGAATGTGACTACTTTGAATTTTTTGAAGCATGCATTATTTTTTACGTTAAAAATTCTTATAGGTTCGAGTTTGGTCGGTGAAGGACGAGTCGTGTCGTCATGTCATTGAAACTCACGAAAACGCTGTCACGGATATATCGCTACATGCAACCGGCGATTACGTTCTCTCCGTTTCCAGCGATTCGTCCTGGGCACTTTCGGATGTTCATTCTGGAAAAACACTTTGCAGAGTAATTACTTTTATTTTTAGAATACTAAAAATGCAAGAACGATGTTAAAAGATGCCACATTTAAGCCACCGATGTTGATTTTTTGGGAAGGAATCGTGCGTGGTAGACCAGGCGCAAAATTACATGTTCGGTGTGGGGACACAGTGATTTTATTGAAATGCTTCCTCATGCCAGTTAGAGTCATGTTACGCCCTCTGCTGTTTAGTTGTGTTTTTTATTTTTTTTCTCTCTGCCAAA